ATGGTTGTTTAGGTGGTAAATGCTACCAAGTACCCTTCAGAGCAGAGATTGAAGTGGTTGAAGGTGTCTCTTAGGACCCTCTTTTACATGTTAGGAATATGCACTTACAAAGCTAAAACTTTTGGATTTTTTTCCTTGTTTTTGTTAAAAGGCAATTAAGTTTTAAGGTGTTTAGTGTGAGCTATTGAGCTATACCCTTAATTACGGAAATCTTTTTGCAGTTCTTTTTGCAGTGGTTTAATTATATTTGTTAACTTTTGTGGCTATCTGAATACAGAAAGGGTGTTATCAAGTCTTATTACTAGTCCCTTCTGTAAGTTTTTCTTATGTCACTATTTTACTGGTCTTTCATACTGTGTAGGGGAGTGTTGGCTTTCTATCTTGTTTACTTCTTACTGAAAAAATCCTCTGGTTTAATATTATATTCCTGTCTTAGTTAAGCCTTTGAGGATCTGGCTAATTTAATAATCATGCTCAAGACAGCTTGATCTTCTAGTGTGGAAAGGCAAATTAGCAGTAAATACAGTTTGCCCCATGTACTTTAAAATCTTCTCTTCCATCTTACAATGAAGCAAAAAGTATGTAAGCCAATATCCTTTTTGTACGTCTTTGATATACACGCATTCTCTACATGGGAAAAAAAAAGTATATCTCATTGGCTGATTGGGAAAATTATTGAACAGTTTAATATCTTTTTTTAGAAATGCTAAAATACCCTTCATTTGTGAAAGAAAAATGAAGTATAGGAAATGTACTAGAGGGAATGATCTTACATGGTTGGCTACATGGCCTATTCTCTGATTTAGAACAGCATGTCACAATTACAGCACTTTGAAGACAGTTTGCTAATAGAGTATAGCTCAATAGACTTACTTTTATTTTTTTAATTTTAATAAAGTTAAAAAATGGATTTTGGTGGCTTTTATGTTTTACTGTGGAACTGTGCTCAAGATACCACTTTGTCAAGAGATTAAAATGAATACAAGCTGGGGAGAACTTGTAATCTTCAAATATTATTCTATGCATATGTATTTTAACCATTATTCAAAAGTAGCCTGCTGCTTTTTGAGTAGATACAAAATATTTCAGTTAAGATAACTGTTTGTATTCATGTCTGTTCCAGACTCTAGCAAAAGAAAGGTAGTTTGAGGTCCTACTAGAAATTTCATCAAGCAATCTTACGCTTTTTGGGTGTGCAGTACCACTCATTGAATCAATTTGAACACTTTTTCATTGACTTTGAAGAGGATTTAGACAAGAAATGTCAGGAGGGGCTTTATTTCCTCTCCACTTAAATCAAAAGCTTTTCTCTCATATTTCTGAGAATGCAAATAGACTAGACAGTCAATTGTTTTGTATTCCTTTTGCATCTTTCAATGTCTTTGGCCTGAAATCTCACTGTGTTTGTAGGCTGTAATGTTTACTCTGCCCACTAAAAACGCACCAAATCAAATCACAATCCTAAATACGTAAGATTGAGCTGTGAACTTTTCACTTAAGCTCTTGCCTGGAGTATGTGTAGAGCTTCATCTTTCTTTGACTTTACCAGCATGAGTTCTCACAAGAATCATGGTTTTTTAATGTAATTCTTATAGGTAATGAATTGTCTTCTCTGATGGAAGATGGACGTTACCAGGTGCTTCTGGCAAAAACTTACAGCAAAATGGAGAAGATTGATGAAGCTATTGTTTCATTACAACAGGTAAAGGGGAAAACAAAAAACCCTAAGAAAGCTTGCAATGTCCTCACTTTTATCCCTGGTTTCACTTTCATCCGAGATATTAAAATATTATTCTAACCATAATATTTTTATGAACGAGGAAAACACATACATGGTAGGGATAAAGCACCAGTGACTGGTGTGAAGTGTAAAGAACATAAGTGGTTAGAAAGTCTAAGCTTTTTGTGAGTAGTGTTATCTGAATTTTAGATCAGAATGCAGGCTTTTACTGGAAGCCTGCGTTCGTACTATGCCTTCATTTGTGCGTGGAGCATAGTTTTAGCAGAGCAGGTGAAAACAAAATTGGCTATGGGGACAGGTAGGTTATATATCTTCAGCTCAGCATTGAACACCACTCACAGAACAATCTGGAACAGCTTTCAATGGCTACCTGTCATTTTGTTGTACCACTATTTATTTTAAATAGCAATAAGATCTGTTCGTTCTGTAGTTGAATATTATCACTCAGACTGAGGCTTGAAGAACAAAGTTGGAAGCTAGAGATAATTTAATACATTTAGAAGACGCTTTCTCAACACAAAGGTTGAGTGAGAGGTTGGGTTAGTACATTCCATTATACCTCCACTCTGTTACAGAAACAATGAGCTTTGGTAGTATCTTCTAACCAGCAAGAAAAGTAAATGTGTAGGTTGGTTAGAAAGATAATTGTACATAAGAGTTAAAATCCTACTGATATTGTTATTTAATCTGTTGTTAAACTGCACTTTTTTCTTTCTCAAAGTTGAATTTTTTTTTCTCCCCATTCTTCTTTAGTAAATTTCCCCCAAAGCAGTATCACACTTGAAAAACTTTGTCTTTGTCTCTCTCCCCTTTTTTTCTTTTGTTGTTGTTTTTGTTACTGCCCTCATAACTGTCCTTCCTTGTACCTGTTCTCTTTGAAATCTTTTCCTGCTCCTTCTCCTTTTGCTGCTGCATTCATTTACACAAAACCACCTGTATTTTGATTATTTGAGCAGGACCAGCTGCTCAGTCATGTTATTGCCTCCTCTTAAACAGCTTTCTTCCCTTGGTTTTCCGAGTGATGTTAGAAGTTCTCCCCAGATTTTACTTTGTGTTAATTCTCCTTCCCTGCTAGGCAAAATGGTAGGGAGGCAAGAAGAAGCAGAATAATATTAGTGCTTCCTCCTCTTCAACTTGTGAACTTTTACATGAGTGAAGCAGCTGTTCTGAGATTTTATTTCAATGTTAAGATAGTTACAAAACTGCTTGAGCAGAAAGAGGGAATCTTTTGTGTGTTAATTGGCTAGAATTCCAGTTGAAATCAAAGAAAACTGATCAGGTATAATCAGAATTGGGCATAGCCATTTCCTTATCTGCCATCTTTTGGGGCATCTGCTGTTAACAAAGAGCTCTACCTCTGTGCTTCTGCTAGACTTTTCTTAATCACTCCCTAAATGAAGGACCTCACAAAACAAAATTTGAAGAACTTTTGCCTTTTTTTTTGGCTGAGTTTTCTGTACTTAATAAAGGGGGTTAAGTACACACACCTTCTGGGTTTTGGCCTTTGAGGTCTTGTTTATACATCTTATCAAAAGTTTAGTTTTAAGAAAGAAAAGGAAAAAGGCATGTAACACTTCTTTTGAATATTTTTGATGTAGGAAGGTAGCTTGGAGACTAAGGAAGTTCTTAATGGGAACCCATGGAGATGATGATAAAATTGTTCTAAGCAAAACTGTAGGGCTTGTGTGCAAAAGCATTGCTTTTCTCTTTAATAATGAGGCTTTGTTCAATGATGTCCTATACCAGCAATTTTTGTGATTACAACTCTGCTAGTAGTTATAGGAACATAACCATTTGAACTGGGGAAGAGGTTTAGTTATAAATAATGCAAGACACAGAAATGTGGGGGGAAATTTAGAGGAATACAAATGTGTCATCTTTATTCAAAAGAATGTATTTGACCTAAATATTCCTTAGATGGAGTATTAAATAAGCTTGTTCATACCACCCTTTTATTCAAGTACACAAGGGGTAAAGTGGATCCCTCCCCAGTTTTTTTGCTTTAATGTCCTGTTCCTTACGTTTCACAAAATGCTGTATGTATGGTTATCTCAAAATTATGTTCTGTAAAGTGTAGATTATACATTATTGGATTGGCACGCAGTTGTCATAAGGAGTATTTTAGAAAAAGTATATTGGGATTCCATCTTCTTGAAAGTGTTGAACACTAGGTTGCTTTTCAGCACGTTTTTAATGTGAATTTTGGGGAATCAAGGCAGTTTGAGGCAGGTTCTTGAGGGAGAGAGATTGGGGGGGGAGGGTTTTGCTTGTTTTCATTGATGTTTTTTATTGCGGAGACATTTTTACCTGCTTTTTTATTATTTGGGCGTTTTAATCTATAAAATACATAGTATGCTTGTAGAACATTTTAAAAAATTAATTACATTATTTTAAAGTAGATAACGTAAAATTCATTCCTTCAAATTTTTGACTGTTCACTCTTTTCCCCCACACTAGGCTCGGGAATTACAAGCCAGAGTGCTTAAACGGACTCAAATAGAACAGCTGGATGCAGTTCCTGCACAGAAGCAGTTAGCGGCCGAAATTTGTGCTGAGATTGCAAAACATTCTACAGCGCAGCGAAACTATGAAAAAGCAATTAAATTTTACAAAGAAGCTCTTGTTCACTGTGAAACTGATAACAAGGTCAGTTCTCCCTCTGACTATTTTGCATTGTTTTTCCATTCAGTTTTGATATCTAGCAATACATTTTTCCAATTATCCACAGTGTAGAAGTATATTTGCAATTATTTCTGCTTTATGATATGCATAGAGCCTTGAACTTTCTCCCCTTCGTTGCTTATCATGGTAGAATAGTTGTATGTATTGCTAATTTCTGTCTCTTACACAAACTCTTGATTCAAGTGGTGGTGTGCATGAACTCCGAGTTGTCCGTTAGATCATATAGTGAGCCTGTCTTCATGTACCAGTTGAGGATGTGTAAGGTATGCCACAGTAATAATGGAGATTGAAACAATCTTGCTTGTTGCCTGTCTTCTGGAATGAAGTCCCAGTGATTTAATCATAGAATCATAGAATCATTAAAGGTTGGAAGAGACCTCCAAGATCATCGAGTCCAACCATCAACCCAACAACACCATGCCCACTAAACCATGTCCCTAAGCGCCTCATCACCAGCCTCGTTGCCCTTCTCTGGACACGTTCCAACATCTCAACATCCTTCTTGTAGTGAGGGGCCCAAAACTGAACACAGTATTCGAGGTGCGGCCGCACCAGTGCTGAGTACAGGGGCACTATCACTTCCCTGCTCCTGCTGGCCACACTATTTCTGATACAGGCCAGGATGCCGTTGGCCTTCTTAGCTGCCTGGGCACACTGCCGGCTCATGTTCAGCCGATCAGTTCAGACAATTTCTGTCTCTTTTGTATCTGTTTTAGCAGTTTTAGACTTTTATCTGGACTTGGTAGGATTTCGATTTTAGCCACAAAGTGTTGACGTTGTTGAGCAGTGATTATTGCACTGCTTCTCTCTTCCCTGCACTGTCTCTTTCCCACAAGTCTGCCTGTTGATAAATCCTGGTAAATTTGAGCTTATTTTTATCCCCTTCTTCCTTCTTCTCCTTTCAGAGCCCTGGGTTTTAGAGATAAGAGAGGGAGAAGCGAAAGGCTAAGAAATTTATAATGAGCACTAAAATTAAGTGTCAACTTTAGTGGATTTTTTAGATTATAAATAAATATAATTTTTGTCAAGTTTCCACAATTTTCTAGCATGTGTGTTGTATATTTAGGTGTATGTGAAGACTTCTTATTTTACTGCTTCTTACTGCACAACTGTCAGATTTACCAGCTACTAAATTATCAGCATCTCACTGATGCTGATAATCTCACTGGTTTTAATACTTGAACTTGTGTGTTCTGGTTTCAAGAATCTAGATCTTCCTAAAGCTACAACTTCAGCATCTTTGAGACAGGGTTTCCTCAAGGCATCTTGTAAGAATGATGGAGAAGGAAAAATAAATGGGGAGAGGAATAAAAACATCCTTAAAATCTTCAAAGGAGGGTGCCTTCCCCATTCTATCATTAAGAGCAAGGAGACTGCCTGTCATAGTACAGGTACAGCTATGGCTTTTGTGGTATGCCATCCCAGTAATTCAGTATCAAACCCTTAATCTTTTTTCTTTCACACCAGTACTGAAATACCAGCATGGCATTTCCCTTCAATTCTTGCTAAAATCATACTATTGAGCAATTCCCATTTTTCAAGATAACGCTGTGCACTGACATTTGTACTGAATATCTGTTAGATGCACTTGCTGGAGATTTTTGCTTTAGTCCTACTTCGCCAGCAACACGGATTACAATGACATCTTAGAAAAACTGAGACTGAATTTCTGATTAAAGACTTGTTCCTTGCTTAGAGTACTGAAAGCAAAATGCTTTTGGTTACCCACAACTAGTATAAACGAGTCATCTCACTCTATTTCTACAGTTTCAGTAGATTTGAACTTGTTTTCTTCCCTTCACTTTTAAAAACATTGCTAGTACAAGGTTGGAATTGAAGTCTTTTAGATACCAAAATATAAATTTGAGCTGTTAAATACCTGTCTATTTCTTGATGTCTTCACAGAGGTTACTTTCCTTAAAATTATATGTGGAAGTATTGCAAATTCCTTTGAAGCTCTCTGTACCTTGTTTCATCAGAACAAAATCTCCTGTATTCTAGCCAAAGTAACCCAAAACAGATTTGAAATGTTGTGTTAAACAAATTATTCAGCTAAATGTGAAGAGGTTGCAATCTCATGTCATAAGGGTTTTGGGTTGTGTTGCTTTGTATCGTTTTACGTAGTTAAATCGGGTAGGTAATACTCTACCTCACTTCTCTGACCAGATAAGAGGCAATGCAGCTTCCAGATGCAGACTTGAAATGGATCACAGACTGCATCAAGCACATCATTTCACAGTATCATTGTTTTTTGGGTTGGGGTTGAAAATTTAGAGACCACATCCAGTCACTAGAATCTAGTATAGAAGTCCAGTTTAACTGGCAGTCGTCTTTGACATGCCCAAGGCAGGAAGTGTTCCTTGACTAGTACACTGCTTTTTGGTCTTCCACTGTATTATGCACATAAGAACAGTGGCTTGAAGAAAGCTTTGGTAATTAAAATTCTTATATGCATACTATATCCATATCATTTCAGTGCTTACCCACCTGCCTTTCTGTTTCAGAATTATATAGTATATGTTTGAATATGTAAATAACAGGAAGTAGGAAGAAAACACTTGTTAAATATTACGCAAGTAGCCTTCATATCCTCAACAGGATGTTCAAAACGCTATTTTGGTTCAGAAGTGCCTTTCGCCAGTGTAACCAGAGAGAGAATTGCAATGCAATTATAAATGCCTCCTTTTTAAAAACAAAATCAAAACACTATTTAAAATTAAGCAGGAGTGACATTGCTCACTGTTTGTCTACTGCTAATTTTACTTTGTGATTGGTTTAACTCCCGTTTGCTTCAATGGGAACTTGATTAAATGTGGTAACTCTTGTGTTTATAAACTTTTCTGTGGCATTTTATTCAGAATAGTCTATGATGGGACTTCAGCCTCAAGGATGCATGCTTATGTACAGTTCAGTTTGTTAATATTTATTCTGCAATTGCTTCTCAGAAATGGATCCACACATGGTCTTAATGTGGTAGGTTTGGAAATGCAAATAAGAAAACTGTTTCTGCTGGAATTTGCTAATTGGTGAATGTTAATGAGGTATTTGCTTCTGTCACTAAACTTAAAACTACTTGCATTTACATCTTTTTCCAAGAAAATTATTCTTACCAAAATACTGTAGTCTTCAGAGCAGTACTATCTGAGCAGCAGTTTTCAATATACCTCCAGAATATCCCTCTGAAGAAAAATTTTATCTGTTTTAAAGGCGAGGGAATGGAAATGAATTAAATTACTTGACCAAGAGCCCACAGGATACAACAGAGAAAGCGCTCTTTAGAAGAGAAGTAATTTTTTCCTGAGGGTCTGTAATTTCAGGTTAATACTCGTAGAACTGAACCACCTTTCTTTAATCTTGGAATTACATATAGTTAAATATTTTAATCTACAGGCAATGTTGGAACTTGCACGTTTATATCTTGCGCAAGATGATACTGATGCCTGTCAACATCAGTGTTCCTTACTACTGAAGAACGACCAAGATAATGAAGCAGCAACGATGGTATGTGCTGTTATACTAATTCTATATCAGAAGTTTTTTGAGGTTTGTGTGTCTGCAATGGGATGGATCCATAAAATACTACTTTTAAGAAAGCCTACAGCTTCTGATTTCAAAAAGCATGTGAAAAAGCCATTGCAACAAAATGTTTTTCTGTCTATGCTGGATAATGATTCAATATGAAGTTTCTAGCAATCATAGCCTTTGTTTTATCTCAGTGCAAAAATGTTTCTTTAAAAGTACCAGTAGAGGAAAAAGTAGTAGTTGTAAGATTGACTAAAGCATGGCTTAATGCATATTCTGTTAACAGTTTACCAATGATCAGGGAAGAAGTTATTTTTCCAGCACAGTAATATTAAAGCAGGTATCTAAAAAAAAAAAAAAAACTTCCAGAAGAAAAGAACTATATACTTAAGGTGGTTTTACATCCTTACACAATCATAGTTAATCGTATTCCTACTTAACCATTTTTAATTACAGCTACAGATTCCCTGTACAGGATTCGTATACTGCTTGGCTTAAAAGACAGTTCAGTAGACTGAGCAACTTTCACTTTAACACATTAGGAGCAAAATAATTTTAAGACAGGAATAATTTATTTTCTTACAGCAGTATAACATCTGGAATTTATCCTGGTATGGTGCAAGAACAGGGGTGATAGCACTCTTAATATATGTTATTAAATCTACTTTTTATTAGCTACCTCTCAGTGGAGAGGAACTGAAATGAAATAATTTTTTTACTTCCACTGCTGAAGTGGGCTATCATCTTCCTTTTTCCCTAACTTTAAACTAACTTTGCTTTTCTATATGATTAATCTGCATTTATGGGAAATAAAATTAGGAGTAAAACTATACAAGTAAAAACAACGTACTTGAAAGGTACATCAAAGTGTTTTATTCTCTTTTAATTTCTACCTTAAGTGAAAAATTGAGATGTGAGCCTGTACCTGCTCATTATTATCCTGTGTCTGTATATAAAGAGTGTTTGTTTTCCAGAGAGTAATGAAAAACCCAACTTGGTTTACTTCTTGTGCAATTCCTGCAGCACTTTAAAGCTATAGTTTTAGCTCCCCACTTTAAAACACTAGAGTTCTTTAAATTTATAATATTATAATGTTTTGTTTTGTTTTGTTTTCTCTAAATTGGTCGATATTGTAGATGATGGCTGATATCATGTTCAGGAAGCAAGATTATGAACAAGCTGTCTTTCATTTCCAGCAGCTCCTAGAACGCAAGCCAGGTGAATGTTAGCAGTGATATTTTTAATTCCTTCTGACACATAGTTCTAATGAGAGAGAGGGATAAATATCTAAAAAATACTTTGTATGATTAAAAAGAAATGTGTTATTTATAATGTAATGGATACTAAAACCAAGGACCACTACTGTATATAAAAACATAAAGTTACTGTAGTAGATGTGAAAATTATTTCTCATACAGTAATTTACTTTGCAATGTAATGTGCATTGTTTACCTCAAGCCAAATAGAGCTAGGGTGTTATTTACTTGTAACTGTAAAGCACTTTCTCTTGTGTTTAAGATATCAAGTGCATGAACACAAAGCTAGTATTTTATTTCAAGATTAATAAAGGAAACTTGTCTCGGACAGGAATAAGTTCCTTTTAGCAATTTGGAAATTATGACCAGAGAGAAAGCTACTAAAATCTATTAAAATAATACTATAATGAATGTAAACCTTTCTAGTGGACTTTGAAAGTTGTGAGAGTACAGCAAATGTTTTTGTTTGAATGCTTTTGAAAGTGAAGTACAACTATACTTATACATTTATTTTTTTTAGAAGTATTGCAAGTATCACTTGATATCTTCATGCTTGTATCTGTGGTTAGTATGTAATATGCCTTATGTATTACATCATATAACATTTTTGTATGTGAAAAAACAAGGCAGGCTCTTTATTTTTTTAAGCTATTTGTTCAGCAAATAACTAGAATTACAATGTCCTAATTATTTGTATATTTAGATAACTATGCAACCCTCTCGCGATTAATTGATCTATTAAGAAGAGCTGGGAAGCTAGAAGAAGTCCCAAGATTTCTTTTAATGGCTGAAAAACATTCTTCCAGAACAAAGCTTGAACCAGGCTTTCACTACTGCAAAGGACTGTATCTTTGGTACTTGCAAATATAATAAGATAAGGTTTATTTGATTATGTAGTACATAGTTAAATTAACTTTCTTGTCATCCATTATCATTCAAAGGTGCTACTGACAGTGTGATAAGTAATACAGCACTACTTATTACTTCAGGTGCTAAGATTTTAGGAGAGGTCTCCTTTTCTCTTCTGAAATACTTTCCAATGAGCTTCTCTTGAAAATGAAGCTATTTTATGTCTCACGTACATCTTCCATATTTCCTGCTTGTTAAAAGGGATATTCTTGCTGGTTCAATAATATAATATTACTTATTTTCAAATTTTAGAATTTTATCAGGCTGCTTTTAGTCTGCAAAAACAAGTTCCTCACAATAGTATGTGTGCTGTTCAAACCTGGCCTTATCAATGTGTGCAAGTGTGTCATCTGTTTTTTTAAATCCTTGGGTTTCTTCTTGGGATTTGGAACAACGAATTTGACTTACCCAGCTTTAAATATTTTAATTATTTGTCTAGGTATACAGGTGAACCAAATGATGCGCTCCGGCATTTTAATAAAGCTCGAAAGGACAGTGACTGGGGACAGAATGCAGTCTACAACATGATTGAAATTTGTTTGAACCCAGATAATGAAACTGTGGGTGGTGAAGTCTTTGAAAATCTGGATGCTGACATAGGGTAAGTGAATGAAATAAATATTGCTTGGGTTCTTCTGTCATCCCCTTCCTCTGCCACTCCTTAATAATTTGCCTTAATTTAAATCGCTAGAACTTTAAGCTCATCTAATGCTTTGAATATTGTACTTACTATATTGTGAGAGACAATCCTAGACTGTAATAAGTCAGTCTCAAGCAGAAAATATAGAAGATTTTATCTAGAATCCTGGTCACTTGCAGTGTTAAAAACAGCTTCTTAGGTTGGAACTGCTGCTGTTACAGAAGAGAATCAATGTAGAATGCCTATATAGCAGAGCCATCTTGTACAAAACAGCATGGCTTTAGCATGGAATCAGTACTAACTCGTAATTAATTTTGTGTATATTAAAAAAAAGAGCTTTTACAAACACTTTCTTTCTGATAACAGTAATTCAACAGAGAAGCAGGAGTCTGTGCAGTTGGCTGTAAGAACAGCAGAAAATCTTCTGAAGGAACTCAAGCCTCAGACCATTCAGGGTCACATTCAACTGCGAATCATGGAAAATTATTGTCTCATGGCAACCAAACAAAAATCAAGTGTTGAACGAGCACTGAACACTTTCACTGAAATAGTAGTGGCTGAGGTTAGTAACCGTCTCACTTCCTCAGTCTTCTCTTTCACACTTACTACTTTTTTTTTAACTAGTCTCGCAGTTTACATTCAGGAATAGTGGCATGTGTTAGTGCTATTTCTAAGGATTTTTTTTTTCTTGTTAAAGAATATTTTATATAAAAAAAAATTGAAAAAAAAAAAACAAAAAACTCCTATGCTGAAATAACAACTTTTAGATGTTTTCAATTGGATTGCAAATGTGTCACTCAACTATATGCTAGTATTGCCAGTTACTGAAATGTGAATATGATATTTTGTTTGAGTTGCGGGGTTTGCTTTTTAATTCCCAGTCTTGCCAGCAGAGTATCTGATGATATAAGTCTATACAGTACCTTTATTCTGTAAGCAAAAACAATTAAATATAAGCTGCCTTCATGTACTTCATGGCAATTGGACAGAATTTAGATTCCAGGGCAAGATTATCCATCTCCTTACATTTCATCCTTATGATGGAAATCTTCATTATTTTATAGCTACTTGTAGTCATTAGCTTTAGGATTAATAATGGATTCTCTTGTTACCAGAACCTTTCAACAGATTTTATTTAATAATATGTAGATGCATTTAGTCCATCAGAATGCCAAGAAATACTTAAGTTACTACTACCCATTGACTGTGTGCTATACTGCTCCTTGGCTGAGCTGAGTATACTGATGCTTTTCTTATGTGTAAGTCAGTTCTGAGAATCACAAACAAGGTGTCCCTCTGCCTCCAGTACTGGCTTCCCAGTCCTGCTCAGAATTGATCTGGGGTCCTGTGAATATTGAATGTTTTTCACATGGTGACACAGTTCCAGCAGGAAGAATGCTCCAGTCTATTTAGTCTTTTCTCCAGAGTCGCATAAAATATACAGTTTTAATCTCTTCAGACTAAGAGAGAACTGAGACGATTCCCTCTTTGGGTAACTTCTAGGTAAGTGCTCTTGCCTTGGCTATTCTAAGAAAAAGTGGTCACCTCTCTTCTCCTGAGCTCCATTTCGAGAGACTGTAATGTGACAGAAGGTTAAAGTGCCTGAGGTTATTGATCCATGCTAGGTGTGACTATTGAGGGAGAGGGGGGATGAGCTGATCATTACCTGGAAGAGGGGCTTTTGGTGGGGGCATTTTTTTTAACCCACTATGGCAAGCCTATTTACAGCACAACCCTGCAACAAGGTGTAGAGGCAGAATACCAATAGTGAGCCAGGTACACTGAGAGGGAGAAAGAAGCTTTTAGGTTAGTTGCTGATAGAACTACTCTCTGCATTTAGGAAGCAGTTTTGGGGTATGAACCCCATTCTCGCCTATGCCCTGTGCTAATAAAGGCAGGATTTTGAAATCACAATTGCTCCTGCACGTCTTACTGCTTGCTTGAGACTCTTGCATAAAATGGTGGCTTTTAAGAATCCTGTTTGTTATACGTAGCTTTTGGATACAGGCAGTTTAGACTTACATTTTTAGGAGCTGTGAACCTAATAATAGGAATCGGTGTCACTGTTATTGCCATTTGACAGACACTTTTAAAAGTAGAAAACACTTGTATTGTAACTTCAAGTGAGTTCAGTTTCTGTCTGAAGTATTTATTTGTGTGTCAAAAGGATAGATCTTAGTGGTATCAGAATGTTTCTTGTTGAGGTGAAATACCTGCAGATGCTTTCAATGTTTCCTGAGCCTGAAGAAGATTGTTTTGAGCCCAAACTTATATTATCCTCTTAATTATTTAACATGGTGTTTATCATGATTAGTCTTACAGAAATGATCATATCACTAGATGGAAAACACGTTTGTAAGATTGGATGTTCTATTTTTATTTCCTGAGATTTAGCTTTTGGTTTAGTTTTCAGATACCTGATGAAAGTCTTATTGAAAAAAAAAAAAATGTTAAAAGCAAAATAAAAAAGCACCATGCCGTCACTATGCTTTCTACTGCAGAAGGATCATATACCAGCACTTTTGGGAATGGCCACAGCCTACATGATCTTGAAACAGACTCCACGAGCCAGAAATCAGTTAAAACGGATTTCAAAAATGAGCTGGAATCCCATTGATGCAGAGGAGTTTGAAAAGAGTTGGCTTCTGCTTGCAGATATATATATTCAATCTGCAAAATATGATATGGCGGGTGAATTATTAAAACGATGCCTTCGTCATAACAGGGTAAGTGACTGTACATTAAAAGTAACCTTAGTAACCTTATATTTTAATTCATCTAAATGTTTAGTTTTCCTCTGAAACATGATTTTGAAATGTTTCTTTTTCCAGTTGCCTGGTATTTCAGTTATTAAGGAGAAGTAGACCAAAACAAGCCAGAAAAACAGCAACTTTACACTGGAGGGTAGTAAACAAACCTTTGAATGTGCTGCTTAGTCATTTTTATTCATATTCTATAATAAGTTATGCAAGTTTTAGCTGTGGTGACACTAGAAGCTTGAGGTGTTTATGGAATGTCAGAGATGCGTTTTACTGAGTTTTGCAAACCTGAAGAAGATGTAGCCATATAAATTTTGGAGACTTGCTCCATTTATTAAGAGATGAGCAGCCTCATGCTCACAAGCCCTGGTCCTCACGGAGGACTTCAACCACCCCGACATCTGTTGGAAGGACAACACAGCAGGGCATAAGCAATCCGGGAGGTTCCTGATATGCGTCGATTATAACTTCCTTCTTCAAGTGGTAGAGGAGCCAACGAGGAGAGGAGCTATGCTGGACCTTGTTCTCACCAACAAGGAGGG